GCCTTAAAGACGAATAGCTGTCTTATTAAGGGTGACTTATCCACGAATTTGTAGAAAGTGCTTGTGTTTTCTCCCTTCTCGTGTACTCCCATTCCTTCTTGTTTAGACATGGGCCCATTTAACCCTGTCTTGTCCAAAACCTTAGAAGTTTTCATTTCCATGCCCACTGTCTATCATTAGTTGAAGAAAACAGAACCACCATCAACTATGGGAGGATGAGCTATTGGTAGTTTTAAACTAAGGAATTTCTCTCTTTGTAGTACGACAAAAGTGGGGTAAGGACTAAAACTTCTGACCTTGAAGAAAGGAGTCGTGCCTTAATGATAGAGCTATGCAAATGTAAGTAAACCTTCGACATGGTGGAGATTTGAGCCATGTTCATGAATTTGGAGAAACTACATAGAGGAGAAAGCTTTATGGAGAATATATCTAGGGTAAATACCCTTTCTCATTTTGGAAGACATCTCAGTCATACAATATGAACTTGAAGGAAATTACGAAGAATGTTGTTCAAATTACCACAAAATAAAGTCAAGTTCGGTTAAAATTGAACTCAGGTTGCAATCAATCTCACATTAGGAAGAATCAAGTCTCATTTACGCAACAAGCCCTTTTTAAGCCCTTCTCATTTACGCACAGCCCTTTTTAAGCCCTCTTTATTTATTTTTAGGTTACATCTGCATAGTGGCTAATTAGGGTCATAAAATATGAAGGTTACAAACTTTTGAAATAGGTTACATCTACATAGTGGCTAATTAGGGTCATAAAATATGAAAGTTACAAACTTTTGAAATGTCCCAAGTCAAGGGTTTCATTTTGAGGTTATATAAAGCCATGTATGTTATCTTTGTGAAAGGGTAATAATAGCATTTGTGCTTTCTTTGGCCAATGACTAAGTTTCTTTGCAATTCTATGCCGTTTAGATTGTGCATGCTTAGAATCATTCAAGCTTGACATAATCAATCTTGCTTGTGGAGTGTTTTGTAAGTCTATGTAATTTAGATTGCGTTTTTAGAACCATTCAAGCTTGACATGATCAATCTTGCTTGTGGAGTGTTTTGTAATTTTATGTAATTTAGATTGCATGTTTAGAACCATTCAAGCTTGACATGATCAATCTTACTTGTGGAGTGATTCGAATCTATAACAAGGTAAAAACACTTGTTTGAGATTTGAATCACTCCACAAACAAGATCGATTGTGTCAAGCTTGAATGATTCTAAATATGCAATCTAAACTGTAGACTTGCAAAGAAACTTAGCCTTTTAAAGAAAGCACAAATGCTAATTTTACTACATTTTTTAATTCCCCTCTACAAAAATAACATACATTGACTTTATATAGGAAATGAGACTTTATATAGGAAATGAAACCCTTGACCTTCCAGACGTATTCCAAGAGTTTGTACAATAAGTAGTCACTATGTAAACGTAACCTACACATAAATAATTGAAGCCATTGTTGCATAAATGAGACTTGATTCTTCTTAATGTGAAATTGATTGATTGTAACTTGAGTTAAACTTTAATAGAAATTGTCTTTATTTTGTGGTAATTTGAACAACATTCTTCACAACTTCGTTTGAGTATGATTGAGATGTCTTGGTTCATATCAGATGCATAGTTAACACTTGATAGCATAATTGATGTGCCACACATTAGTTATATAAATTGTATATGAACTCAACCTTTTCTAAGCATGTATCGAACACTTGTCATGCATAATTAATGGACACAAATAGTAATAAAGGAAAAAATAGTGAACTTTTGAGAATAAAATACATCAATCCCATTTTTTTTAGGTGTGTAAATGCATAAGTTTATTGATTAAAAAAATTTCCATGTTAAAATTTTTTTAGAAAATTTTCATTGCATGTCTGTGCCCTATATTTTCTAGAAAATGATACTGAATTTGTGTCTATATCCATGCTGTCTGTTTCACATATGTGCATTTTTGTAAGCTCTAAATATAGAGAGGAGTATAAATCTTTTTATTATAAACTTTTACCTAATCGATGAGAAAGCTTTCTCAAGACATCAGACGTCTAAATATAGAGGGAAGTGCTCCGAGAATCATATTCTCTTTTTGTTGTTTTTCTTAGCCCACTTAATTATTTTAGCTTGTTGCTTTTTTGCAGAGTGGTCATCCATGTTCATAAATGATTGAAACTTTTCCTAAGAAAATTGTACATAAATGTTTTGACATTTCGTTACCTTTTGTTAATAGCAATGCATGTAGGATACCTTCTGCATTTAATTCATTAAAAAAAAAATATTCTTTCTGTAAAGGGAAAAGAGCGAAGTTAATAAATATTGGCCTTTTATTTTCTGAGATTTGAGTTCATTTTTTTTATCCCTAGTTTGGACGGTGAAAATATCATGCTTTGCTTCTTAGAAATGTTGGGAATTTGGCTACCGATGGTCAAAGGCTGGGATGTAGGTTTTGGTTTACGTTTTCTTTTCAAAGGTGTCAGAGACCATTTAATCTTGTAGTGAACAAACATTTTATGGTTCTTTGAAGCTTATATCTATATTTTATGTTGTTGTTGACCTTGAAAAGAAAGGTGTCACAATATTAGTGGTTAAGTTTGCTGCTTTATTGTAGAATCAGAACGACCAATTGACTGGACATCGCAATCTAAAGGATGACAGTTGCTTGAAATTATTATTTGAAGTTAATCTTTTACTACCTTACTGAAATTGTTTCTATTGGAAATTTTAGTAGTAATATTGTATAACTCTTTAATCTGTAGGACGTTGACGTGGGAGAATTGCAAGGAGATGATATCAGTGATGATCAACCTGGTTCTGCTGACGAGTTGCCCAGGGTATGCCCCAATTTTGTTAATCTTTCTGCAGTACTTCACTCTAGTTTTTCTCTTATTTTTTATACTTTCTGAGTGTGCCTTTATTTGAACTTGGAAACTTCTGCTTTGCAGGATATGCCGGAGGCCGGAAATTCTTCTGAACTCCTCATATCACAGCAAGAAGTGAGATCAGAAGAAGAATTTGAGCTGAAACATGGGGATGGAGATGCAAAAGAACAGCAATATGTTCCTCGAAGGTCCTATATGAATCAAAGAGGTGGCCGTGGAGTTGGTGGCCGAAGAGGAGGATACCCTAATGGTCGTGGAGGTCGAGGTGATGGAAGGGGAGGAGGTTCCTACCAGAATGGACGCCCTCGATACTATGACCAGTCAGGAAATTATTACCAGAGGAACTACTATAATGGTCGAGGAAGAGGTGGTGGGAGGGGTGGTGGCGGCCACTCATACAACAGCCATGGTTCAGCCCAAGGTGCTCCCAACTCTGCAAGTATTGGCGTGGCCTCGTGATTATTCTATGAATGTCCTTGGGGGGTGTTTCTCCGAAGTGGATCGGTGGTTCGAATGTCTGTTGCTTTTCATTATTCCCTCTCCCCTATTTGGACATCGGTGTTCGTTGAATTCACCAATCCAACATCTTGCTTTTTGTAGTTCTAGTTTTGATGGGTCCAATGGAAGCTGTATAAAAAGGCAGGTATCGCCAAACCACCATTTGATCCTAAGTTATTTTGTGGACGTGAGTTGATGATGATGCTTAGATATTTTAAGGTATGATATGGTTATCTCGTTTTAGTTATCGAGTTTGCGTAGTTCTTAACCACATCGTTTTAGAACAGTTCAAGGTCTGATATTGTAGATAATTCTCTTCTTCGTCTTCTGCCTTGAAGAATTCTGAGTACAATAAATTTCGTGTTCAGAACAATAAAAGTGTAGCACAGTGAGAAACTCAGGAAAAAGGCGGCGCATATATGCAAAGCAAAGCATATTCATTTCCATTTCAAAAGATGGCATCCTGCTGGGCCTCACATTTTAAAGCTTCAATCAACTGTGTATTGATACCAAGTTTCGTGGGATTGGAATGGTAACCGATGTTTTATCGATTAAGTTAACCTAAGCTTAAAGTGATACTTGAGTTAAAAGTAATTTTGCACCACATTGGTGTTATTATTATTTTTTTTTTATGCTTATATTCTTTCCCGGACAATAGAAACTTATCACTTATCTCATACAAAATATACTTTTTGATATATGAAATTTAAATTAATATCTATTTTCTTTACAAAATGAAAAACACATTTTCTTTTTGTTACTACTTTTTTCTAGAGTTTTTACCCTATAAACCCAAATAGTTTTTAAATAGTTAAAATTCAAATGTATTTACATGAGAAGTGAAAACATCATCACATAATAATTATCCAACGAAAAATAAAATTAATATATTTTATTAAATCACCTCGTACAATTAAAAAATAATTAAAGAGTTGAATGAACATTACAATCCAAACTTTAGCGTTGAAAGTATCTCTTTTAAAAATCTAAAAATCGAGTAAATCTCAATTACAAGCTTTAAAACCCAAAATTTTATTTTGGTCTACTATTTTTCTAAGAAAATAGAATAAAATAATAAGACGAATAAAGGCAAAATGTTTAGGGTTATTTTTTTTATGTATACATATATATATATATAAAAGAATATAATAATAATAATAATATCATGATTTGACATCATATTATAATTTTTTTAATACAATAAAAATATAGTTCATGCATTTATAATTTATTCTAAAAAAAAAAAAAACTTGATTTATATTTAATTAATTAGTATTTTGCCGCAATGTCAAAAGTTGATCAATTTATGTCTGGACACTGCATTTTTGATAAAGTAGTTCATACCAAAAGATACCAAACGAGCAGACAATAACTTTTAAAAAAATATTTTAATTCGTATAATTACTTTAAATTTGTCAACTTAACTGACGTTGGTCCCTAATTAACTTAGTTAATACCCACTTAAGAGTTTAAAGAACGGTGATAATTTCATTTTCTGTCGACAACACAAAAATTAAGAAAAAATATAAAATTACTGCACAGATGGAATCATATTCCCTAAAGCTTGAGTTTCCCCTTTTACTGTTTTCTTCTCCTATATATGAAGCTGCTCAAACCTGTAATAAACACAAACAGGGTTTCTCTCAGAGAAGAGGCTCAAACTGACCTGAGTTTAAGAACTTCCAGCTTCAATTTCAAAAAATGGGAGCAAGCTTTACAGCCCCACGTTCAAGATCTTCCAGTACATCATTAAAAGGAAAGGCTCCCACCATTGTCGAGTGCCACAACAAAGCTGAGTGGACAGCTCATTACGAAGCCACGAAGGAAACAAACAAGCTTGTAAATTTCATATGAACTTTCCATTCCAACATATAAATAATGCATGCTTCGGATTTGTCGTTGACAAGCAGCTGTTTTTTGCTTTGTGATTTGTTTGTGCTGCTGGTTTGTTGTAGATGGTGATTGATTTCACTGCTGCATGGTGTGCACCTTGTCGACACATGGAGCCGACTATCAAGGAGTTTGCTGCAAGGTTCAAGGATGTTGAGTTCATTAAAATCGACGTCGATAAGTTGACGGTATGGTCGAGCTTTCAATCTTGTCTTGTCTTTGTGTTTGATATTGGTTGAGTGGGTATGTTGAAACATGAATGTGCTGAAAAAATGGATGACAACGCAGGATGTCGCTAAGGAATATGGCGTAGAGGCAATGCCAACATTCATACTGCTTAAGAACGGGAAAGTAGTTGATAAAGTGGTCGGAGCCAGGAGGGAGGACCTGCAAAAGAAGATTGAGAAATATAGTAAATATTGATGATGTTCATGAAGCATCTAAATAAGGAAGGAAAAAACAGTAATAAAGAAGCAGGATTATCTAGTTTGCTAGAACAAACAAAGCATGTGATGTTTATTCTATTATGACAGCCCTTATGATTTATGTTCAGAAAGATTTCTTCCTTTTTCTTCTATAAACTCAAACAAATACATAAAAGAAATGACAGGTAGCTCAGCCAGCAGAGTGAACATGGTTTTGATTGGTTCGATTGATTGCAATCAAACCAATCAGAGGATGGTAATGGTTTATAATATGCTAGAAAGGATGACAAAAAGGACACTGCATAAATTATTCAACACCAGATGATGCACAGTATACACGAAATTCCAAGCTAATAAAATACAAATAATCTTACACAGACTTCCATGTAAAATATGTATGATCACATGATGCAACATTATTATAATCAAGTCAAAATTAACTTTTGGCTACAAGGGCAGTGGATGAAGAATGCTAGATTTTAATCCCTAAATCATATTTCCAGGAATTAATCAAGCAGTTCTCCAAGATTCTAATATGCACAATGTTTCTTTCTGGAGTGTAGGACGAGTATTTACATGTTTTTGAGCTTGTATTGTCGATCCCCTGCGTAGAAGGTTCGTTGTTGTGACCGCTCCTGGACTCGGCTTCTTAATCAGAACCACCCAAAGCCCTTCTTAGATCGGATTTCTGATCAAAAGTAAGCTTTGATGGGAAAACTATATCAAACTTGATTCTAAGGTTCCCCTTCTTGTTTGGTTCTTTAGAGATGGGCATTCCTTCATTCTGGATCACTACCTCGTACCCCGGTTTTACAATATCAGTAACGGTCGTGAGATTTCTTCCATCCAAAGTTGTAAAGTTCAATGTCTTTCCGGTTAGTGCTTCTAGTAGAGATAGTTTCTGATTCACTACCAAATCATTACCGTCCCTTTCAAACACAGGATGCGGTTTCTCATCGATGATAAATATAAGATCAGCAGGGGCGACCCCAGGCTCTTGATTGCCTTTCTCAGGGAAAGTGATTTTTGTCCCCTTCTTCCAACCAGGCTTGATATCGATTTTTAACACTTCATCAACAGTTTTCGGCTTCCTGCAAAACAAGTTACTTGAATGTCAAGCCTAAATCGAGGAGAAAGACGAGACGAAAACTATGCAAGAACAATGAAGATATGAAAAGAGAGAATGAAATAGGGTGTCACACAAACCCAATGTATTAGACGAATCATCACACAATGAAGTTAAGTGTTTGCTTGATTGCAATTATGCCAAAAAGGAAGAGTAAGCTTATGTTCATTTAATTCGATTCAATGATGTTCTTCTCCAATTTTCATCAAGAAAAAGCATGTTAATTATTCATAATCAACAGAAAATATCGTTATAGATGCGTCCTGTGGCCATTGAAGAAAGAAGAAGCACCAAGTTCCCTTTCTGATCATAAAGTTTATGTCAGAGCATGATATTCATATGATCATCTGTCTTTCTGAAAAGCACGCAGAATCATCCAATTAGCTACACAAGTATGTCTTTACTTTAGGCAGACAAGAATTTGACATATCATGCTATGCTATATAATATTCAAAGTTGCAAACCACTGGCTCATATTAGTTTATCCTATCGTCTTTACATCAATGGTAAGAGTATAATAGAAGGGATCGTTCGCCATTTAAAGAGGTATCAATATCCTGATAATCCTAGGCAGGCAGCTAGAAAAAAAGAATAATATCTTCGCAATATTCTCCTTCATTTCCGTCCATTAAGCCTTGCATCATCAAAGATACCATTAGATACAATCGAAACAAATTAGATTTATTAGCATTCAACATCTTTGTTTCAATTAAAATCAAAAGAAGTAAAAGAAGAGCCAGAAACCACGAGCAGGAAAATTTGACATACCCAAATTCATCAGGGACAATGCGAGAAATCTTCATCTTCCTCCTAGAACCTTTGTAAAGCTCTTCCAAGCTACACATTAACTTGCTCTCAATTGGCGATGCTTTCTTATTCGTTTGCTTCCCAGCTTCCGCCTTACCATTCCTAAACACACTCTCTCCCCTAAACCCTCGGCTCTTAGCACTCCCAGCCCCGCCGAACAACTCGGCGAAAATGTCATCTGCATCTCGAGGGACATAGGAAAAAGAAGGATTGGAATTAGCCGGAGGAACAAAATCAGTAGATTTGAGAGCCTCCTCGCCGTAAAGATCGTAGATCTGACGCTTCTTAGCGTCGCTCAAAACATCATAAGCTTCAGAGATCTGCTTGAACTTAGACTCCGCCTCTTTCTTGTTCAAAGGATTCTTATCAGGATGCCATTTCATAGCCAACCTCTTGTAGGACCTCTTCAGATCCTCTTCATTCGCATTTCTGTTCACCTTCAACACATTGTAGTAATCCACCCCCATCACACAGCTACCTCTCCTCGATCCCTCAAAATCCTTCCAAATCCTTCAAAATGTGGATCCAAATTCCCAGAGCTCGAACAAACTTCTTCTAGCTGATGACTTCAATTCCGGGAACTAAAAAGCAAAAGTGGAAGAATTGTGGCTGATTTCTCCAATCTCGCTTTTTAATAATATATATATTTAAAGTCAAATGTCTTTTCTTCCTGCTAACGTCACATCTCGGTGACAGAAACTTGCGTGAATGACAATCCTGAATGGACGACGACGATTCTCCTTATCCACGTGAGGGTCACCCCTCTCCCCTCTCCTTTTGAATTGTCGGGCACCCAATTTATTATTTATTATCATTTTTTTTTTAAATATTATCTTTTTTTTGTTTTTATTTAAAAAAAACCCTTCTATTATTGGATGGGTAGGTTTTTCTTATTAATTTAATTTAACTAAATCATCAATTATTAGTTGGTTCTCATCAATATATATATATATATATATATTTATTTATTTATTTAGAGTAAATAAAATAATAGTAAATAATACAATAGTTGAATATAAATATTTTTTATAATTAAATACTCATAAATTCATCAAATAATGCAAAAATGCTCCCTTTAAAATCAAATAAAATATTAATGATGATTTTGTCGGCACAATTTACTATATTTGTCTAATAAAGCCAAAAATATATTATATACACAGAAAAAGAAATAATTATTCAAAATAAACTCAACAAATTAACAAAAAAATAATAATTAAAAAAAAAAGATTTAGAAAGGGTTCCAAAAAAATATCGAACGTGCGGTCAAGTAGTGATTGGGAGAATAAGTGGTGGGTGTAGGAAAGAGAGAGGAGAGGGACAGTTTTGTACTTTCACATATATTTAATAATATAAATTATAAAAATAAATTATGCATTTAATTTGGAATTGGAATATTAGTCGGCAGTCGCCGCCGTGGGAACCGCTGCGGAATAAGCCAAACACGTCATTTTTCACCATTCAACCAGCTGGCCCCTTTTAATTAATTAAAATATATTAAATTACCATTTTTAATTCTCCGGAAAATCTTTTAAAAAATATCTTCTTTTTTCCCCCCCAAGGAAAATAGACTTATTTATCTTTAATTTCTTTTATTATATATGGCTTTTAATGAGAATCTAGAAATTAAAGAGAAATATTTGCTTTTAATGAAAAGTATTTTTTATTTAATTTCTAGATTCACATTAAAAGGAATAAAATCTTATTAAAGATTATATTTTTTAAAAAATAAAATTTTCAACGTTTTATTTATGTAATTATGAATATGTAAAAAAAAAAAAAAGTCAAAAGGTAAATAGAACTCTCTTGGTAAAAGCATTTGGAATAATCTTTTTAAAAAATCATTAAAATCGCATATACTATTTTCTATTTTACTTTTATCAACGTAATTCAATTAGTTTAAGTATATACTCGAATTATTATAATAAGAAAAAATTTGTTTTTTTTTTTAATAAAAATCATTTTAAAAAAAAACTTTACTTGTAAGAAAAAAAAAAAAAAAAAAA